TTGAGGTCAAGATATTAGTAAGATTCCATTTTGTCGACAAGTGAATTTAATTGATGTTATCCTTCAAACATTTAATCATGGACAAATTCATTTTGGAAGTATTGCCTTGGTATTTGCATCTTGCATCAAATACCGTTTTGTATGTTAATTTTTTAGTATAACCCTTTGTCGGGCATTAATGAGCGGATGAGTAATTGAGTATGTGATTTATTGTCGAGATCTCATACATAAATAGTTGAGGTAACTTTTTTGGGCATATATATATGTTTTCTAAATAAAGACAGATTACACGAAAACCTATATTCGAAGTACTGTCATGTTTATGGTGAAAGGTTTAATGCTTCTAGCTACTATTACCCGCCATTGTGTTTGTTGATTTTCACATCTTTCAGATGATCAGATTGTTGTATGCTTTCATTTGTTCAGGGCACAAAGATGGAAAATCATCTGAGATGCACTTGGAAGATAATAAAGTCCTGGCTGAGAAAATCATTTGTGTGTGTGACAATCAACAAGTCAGCGATTAAGTGGTTACATGCATGTTTAGTGACATTGAATGTGGGATGATAATTAAGTTATTTACGTGTGAATAATAGATTTGTCCAAAGATGGAGTATTGTTTGACACATTACTTTATTGTCAACATTCGATTGTCAAAACAAGCTTATTATTGGTGAGTCAGTAATTTGTCCAAAGATGATTTTTTATGTTGCTCGGTAACTTGTGATAAGATTGCTAATTTATTTTATAAATTCACATACAAAGAATTCAGTAGTTTATAGACATGTGCATTTAGTTGCTAATAAGAATTCTTTTATTTTTTATGGAATCAAACTCGTCTACGTTGAACGTGATTCTTATTATAATTTAGTTTAAGAAAATTATAAATTCATTAATAATGCTTGTTGTGTTTTGACAGTGAATATCAAGTATTTGATATTGCTAAAGTAACATCTCTTATATGAGATTTTTACTAGATAACATAAGTGTTTATATTTGTATTTTAATTCATGTGATTATTCTTAGGCCCAAATGCAGTTGGTAATTGACATAATGAAATATACATCCACGATAATATGTATGAGATAATTATATGGTTTTAACTTATGTGAATAGTGAATCAGTCCAAATATTGGTTTATTGTTTGACATTACTTATTATCCGTATGTGATTATTGCAACAAGATAACTGCTGGCAATCAATGTTATTGATCCAAAGATTGATTATTGATGTTACACTTAGTGTCTTGGGATGATAATGCATTATTTTTTAGCTTCATTATGCTTCATAAATATTTATGTGTATATTAATTCAATCCCAACATTTCTGGGAACAAGTGTAAGTACTGAAAAGAATAAGTATTGATTCATTTGGGTTGCATGAATCTTGACTTAGCATTAAGAGTAGACCAACCCACTTATATGGCGAAAAACATTGCAGATGAAAAGCAGTTGTTTGAGAAGTGGGATAAGTCCAACGTCTAAATTTGATGATCATTAAGAAAAACACTCCATAAATTTTTCGAAGTATGATATCCGATGATATCACTACTGCCAATGAATTTTTTGTCGAAATTAAGAAATGTTTTATCAAAAGCGATAAGGCGGAAATGAATACTCTTCTTAAGAGTCTCATTACCATGAAGTATAATGAAAAACATAACATGAGGGATTACATTCTGAACATGTCTAATATTGCGCTACTAAATTGAGGACACTTAAGTTAGACCTTTCGGATGATATGTTTGTCGTATTGGTCTTGCTCTTGAAATTATTTTGATTTTAGTTTGTAGACACACCTAGGGGGTATATTTTGGTGTAAGAACTTTAACCAGTCATTGACAATTTTAGATTATTATTGAGTACTGGTTACTATTTGAATTTGGATGAGACATTTTTATAGTACCATCTTTAGACGAAATTTAATTTCGATCTCTATTTTAAACAAATTCAGTTATTATTGTTCATTCGAAATAAAGTTTTTTAGTCCATTCCAGAATTTAAAATTGGTTGGAACTAGTACATTATTTGATGATAATAATAATCGTCATTTGCTTAATAGTCCGGCTTCATATCATGAAGTAGTTATCGAATATATTTATATAACTTCCATGATTACGGATCCACTTAATTGCTAAAAGGTTTCCATATAAATTCTAAAGTGAACATGTTGCTCGTATGAGAGTAGAATCATATTTTGATATTTTGGTTTAGTGGGAGCTAATTAGTAAAGTTCAAATACAGTTAAAGTTACTTTATTTTATACAGCAATATTCAATATGCACTGTCCAGTATTTAGTATTCAGTTGTTCATTAAAGTTAGTGTAAATTATATAATGCCCCCTTGTATTTTAGTAAAAATACACAAAACACTATCTGTTTTATTTATTGCGTGAACCCCCTTGTGTTAATGCAAAGTTTGTATGATATATCTTCCTTGTCCAAAATTGATATTTGATTTTAAATAAAAACCTAAATTACGCAAGTTTTATACAAATAAAAAATGCAAAATATCTTAAATAATTTTTTTTGAATAAAATAAATAAATAAATAATTAATTAATCCTTCATTTTATAGTTTTTTTTAGACAAATTGTTATATGATATTTATAAAAACTATAAAAATAAATGATTATCAATTATTTATTTGTTTGTTTATTTTATTCAAAAAAATTATTTAAGATATTTTACATTTTTTATTTGTATAAAACTTGAGTAATTTAAATTTTTATTTAGAACTAAATATCAGTTTTGGACAAAGAGGGTATTTCGTGCAAACTTTACATTAATACAAGAGAGTTTCACGCAATAAATAAAACATAGGTATTTTGTGCATTTTTACAAAAAGACAAGGGGATGTGTTATGATTTATCCTTAAAGTTAAAGTGGATCAGTTGAAAATAAACATGTTAAGATCACATTACATAAAATTTTCATGTTGTGCATCCGCACTTGATCGAATATTAGGTTATATTAATGTTGTGACCACTGATCGGTCCTATTGCGATAAATGCAGTGACGAACGCTTTGATCCGTATTAATGTAATTTATAGATAAGATTGCTAAAATACATAAAAAGGATATGATTAAAAATTTCTCCTGAGCTCATAAGGTTATTCAGTGTACATTTACCTAAATGAGAGATTGTTGTATTAAAAATCCAATAGTGGGTTAATGTAATTAATTAGGACTATCAGTCGGATTAAGCCTATATTAAGTGATCTATTAATTTATTGAGCTTAATATGTATTTAGTAAGTGCGGACCTCCTATGTGCATGCAGAAACTCTGTAACTTATTAATTTAGTGATGAGACAATTAATAATAAGGGATATATATTAAGACTGTGATCCCAAGTGTAAACGCAACAATTATTTCTTTCCATATCTCATCATCGTGGTAGTAACGACAGAAACCCTAGCGAATTTTCTCAGAAGGGGAACACAAATACCCTCGATTAATTTGTAGATCTAAATCCGACAATGCTAATAGAATAAGTTAGATTTGCTTTATTTTATTATCTCAATTCTTTCAATAGGATAAAGCTTTATTTTATTATCTTAATTTCTGATAAGTTTCAATCAGAGTTCCAGCTGGAGCGGTAATTGTCGGAGAACGGACGGAGGTTGGAGGCGAAGGATCAGTTAAGGCTTGTGGCGTTCTACGCCGGGGGTCGAAGGATATGCTTTGGGAAGGATTTGGCGATCGGTGGTGGCGGGGGAGAAGGAGTTGTTGCTGCCGCTGTTCTAAATACAAAATCTAATTTTTACTATTACAATTTAAATAGAAACAAAAAAAAAAAAAAAACTACATTTGTCCACTCACACTACGTTTGTGAATATAATTTTTACAGGGTCAAATCGTCTGTTCCATTATTTCCCTCTTCCCATGTTTCTGCAAATGAATTTACGACACATGCTGGGGAGGGAACAGATAAAAATTTAGGATGTGTTTGTTGGAGAATTGATTTTAAATACTTTAGACCAACCGCAATGGGCGCATCTCCACATCAGCAATTTTTAAAAATAAAAATAAAAAATAAATAAAGATGTTGCTTCCCAACATCTCTGCACACATGCTGGCAAGATGTTGATTAATTGCCATGTGTTCCAATTTGTCCCAATTAAATTGGGACACACGACATTTATGTATATATATTATATATATTTTGTTTTTGTAATTTATATTGAATTTATTATTATATTTAAATTTTGTAATATTTTTATAATTTATGATATTTTGTATTCTACAAACATGATACTAATATTGAATATATTTTATTAATTTAAATTTTAAAATATATAAATACAAATATTATATAATTCTATTAACAAATCAATATTAATAAATTTAATTTAATTTATTAAATAAATTTTAAAATTTAATTTAATTAAATAATAAATAATATAATTTTTCCATAATTTTTTAATAAATCAAAATATTGACAAATAATAATATAATATAATATAATAATTAAATAAATAATTAATATTACAAATTAAAACTATAATTTAAAAATAATATATATAATATGAAAATAAAAATTTATTAAAATATTAGAATAAGTACCTTTGTTGTGAATATAAAATAGAAGAAAGTATCTCGGCTGACGTGGCAAGAGAGAAAATGACTTGAATTAAAAAAAATAGTACAAATAGAGATACCAAAAAACGGATATTTCAATTACGGATGATCTTATTCATATCTTTTTTTTTTTTCTTCAAAGAATCAAATATTTATTTATTATAAATATTACATAATAAATGGTGGAATTGATGGTATAAAATTAAAATATTAATTTAATATTAGATAAAAAAAAAATCAATTCAAATTTAATTGTATAAATGTTTTAATAAAAACTAATAAATATATATGTACTTTTGTAAAAATAAAATTTTAAATGTTAAAAAAAAGATATTAATGTATTATTAATATAAAATATTTAAAATAGTGTATAGTTATATTTTTTTTTATAATACAATACATGTTTATTATATTATAATATGCCCCGAGAATACTCTGAATTTCATCAGCAAAAAATCAAGAACAAGTTTAGAAATTTGGAATCGATGATTTGTGTGTTCTCTGAAAGAGATCGATTCAATTTGGCGATTGGGAAGTATTTCTGCAGAGAAATTACGATAATCCGGCTGAAGAATTTCTATGTTTGCAGTGATGATTGGGTAAGGACAAACGCGAAGATGAGGAGAAAAAGGCTATACCCTAATTCAGATGCAGCGGGTTAAGGGATGGATGAATATATGGTAAGTAATCAGAACATTAGGAAATTTGATTCATGAATATACCCAACCCCAACCAAGCCAATTCTAATTCGAATCAATTGAGCCCTTTTGGGTTCGAATTGTTCACCACCTGATTCAGTAAACAGGAACCCTAATCATCCCTGGAGCTGTGGGTGGCACACGGATTTATATATGCCTACCTAAAATTTTCATTACATTCACAAAAATTCGGTGGGTGTGCGATCTCTCTCTTTCGCTCTCTCTATCTCAAGAGTTTCTTGTTTTCTCCGCCCAATTTTGGTTTGGGCGAAGTTTTGAAAAATCGTTAGAGGAAGAGTTGGCGAAGTAAGATTTGGGGGAAATTAAAAACCCTAGAAGTTCTTTTTTATCTTGCACTGCCATGGAAGGAGGTAGATATCTTGATCCTTGTTTTTCCCTTAGTGTAAAGTTATTGATTGAGGTGGTGTGTGGTTTTTTATTTGACTAGGACTCATGAAATCTTAGGGTTTTTTTTTTTTTTTTAATCTGCAACATTTGATTTTTACAATTGTGCAAGATTGACAAAAGCTCTTGATGAAAAATTGAAAGTTGGGTTGTCGGTGCTTGGTGTTGATGGAAGTTATGGTGGGCATACAAAGAGTAGATACAAACGTCTGATGAATGATTTGATTCATGAGTTTATATTCTGTAGATTTTTGTGGAGTTGTGCTTTTGTGGTTTTTAGGTTTATGTTGCTCTTGGATGACTTGATCACTTGCCATTAGAATTGTCTGATGCCCAGAGGAAGAATGTCATACCAGTTTGAAGTAGCTAAAATGTAGAAATGGTAGTCCAGATATTTGGCTCATTTGTGCGTCTGGCTTCGGCTTCTATCGGGATCCAGGATCATAACCTCGAAGCATGATTCATCAAAGTCTATGAAACCTTTGGAGCTTTGTTGAGTTTTAGCTGATTTCATTATCTTCTCTAGCAGATTATAAGGAATCTGTGGAAAATTAGGATTAGTTTGCTTCAGTGATAGTGAATAATCATATAAATGACAACGGTTAGTCATTTTCTCTGAGGCCAAGATATTAGTAAGTTTACATTTTGTCGAAAATAATCATTTATATATGATAACGGTATAATAAATCAAGGTCAAGATATTTAGTAAGATTAGATTTTGTTGACATGTGAATGTAATTGATGTTATCCTTAAAACATTGTCACGGACAAATTCGTTTTGGAAGTATTGACTTCTTACTTGGATCTTGTGTCAAATGCCATGATGGATGTTACTTTTTAGTATAGCCCTTTGTCAGGCATTAATGAGCGGATGAGTATGTAATTTATTGTTGAGATCTCAAACATAAATAGCTGCGATAAAATTTTTTGAGCATAGATATTTCTGTAAATAAAGATGAGAAGACATGGTAACCTGTTGAGCATAGATATGTTCTTTAAATAAAGATGAGAATTCATGGTGACCTGTATTCGAAATACAGTCATGTTTATGGTGGAAGGTTTAATGCTTCTAGCAACTGTTATCCGCCATTGTGTTCGTTGATTTTTTTCATCTTTCAGCTGATCAAATTGTTGTATGCTTCCATTTTTTTCAGGACACAAAGATGGAAAATCATCTGAGATGCACGTTAAAGATGATAAGGTCCTGGATGAGAAGAACAGGAAGAGGACAGTAAAGACGCCTGTGCAGATTCAAGCATTGGAGAACTTCTATTCCGGTAGCTTATACTTTTATAATGTCGAATCAAGGTTTTGTGTCCTTTATTGTACTAATAATACAATGATCCTTCATCCTTGTATTTCAGAAAATAAATACCCATCAGATATGCTAAAAGCAGAAATTTCTGAGGCGACAAGCTTGACTGAGAAGCAAGTCTATGGATGGTTTTGTCACCGGAGGTTAAAGGACAAGAAGCTTTATGATAGCTCTGCTGGAGGGCTGGACCACTCGAGTGCAGTAGTAGAGCAAGATCATGGCAGCGGGCATAGGCCAGATTCTTGCGGCAGTACGAAACTAGGAGGCAATAGGAATTTTGATACCAAGGAAGTCGAAAGTGGTAGGGTAATTCTTCCACAACATTCAGGTGTGGAACTTGCATTTTCCGGAACTTCCCGGTACTTACCGCCAAAATCTCCTCTGGATATGCCTGCTGCAAAGCCTAGGTCAGGCCCTTCGGGTTATTTAAAGCTGCTGAAGCGCCCGTCTGAAAACCCTGCTATAACTGCTGTCAAGAAGCAGCTGGGAACCCTCTATACGGAGGATGGTCCAACACTTGGTGTCGATTTTGACAGTCTTCCTCCGGGTTCCTTCGAATCAAAGCAGGTTCAAGTTTATGGTAGGTTAATCGAATTAGTATGTTTAGTCGTCTTCCATGCTAATTTCTTTGCGTATTTTAGTTGTCTTTGAATCTGTAATGGTGTTCTTAAGGTATTACCTGAAGCAATACCTTATTTATTGACTTATTTCTTTTTAACCTTTAATTTTCATTAACCAGAAAACTATGGTACGAGAGAAGGCATTTCTCCTGCTCTAGGTGGTATTTCGAATCTCCACCAGCACCTCAAGTTTGGAAAGGCAAGTGAATTTATGAATGATTTCCTTTTTCATTTCAAATCATTTACTTTTTTGGAACTTTCTGTAAAACTGTATAATCATGAAATATTATGGCGCCATCTAGTGCAATAATACGGCAACAATAGCGCAATAATACCGATGAAATTGGTGTGAAAGAGACCGTTGACGTGCTTGACTATCTGAATATGATAAATTATCCGATGATTGTTTAGATGCTCTAGATGTTGCCCTTTAGTGCAATAAGTTTTTACAGATCTCAACGTCTGTCATGCTTGAATAATTGTCTTGTCTGATTGCTGCTTCTTTTGGCTTTCTAGTTTCTCCATCGGGCGTTGATGCCATAGTGGCCATTCAACTTTTAGACCATTGTGTTTTTATTGTATTAAAAGTTCTGTTTATTCATTTTAAGTTGTTATCCTGAAGAGCTATTCTATAAATTGTTGCGACTTCTGCATTTACCATTGTCCGACAGTCTACTTAGTTGATTTTCATTTATATGTTCTTCCACATGGGAGTCAGACTATGCTTCATATGAGTAATAACCATTTCTTTTGGTCTCAATATTGCAGGGATTCGAGATTGGCTCCCGCGGACCATCACTCGGGTTGAAAATGGATAGAGCAAGTTTTAAGGTCCCTCAAGGATCTGATGGGCTGCACATCTCCGGGCACCAAAAATTCAAACAAAACTCTTCCCCGGGTTACTATTCTGATAGATCACTCGGAAAGTCCGCTAAAGGTGTTGCTGGAAGCGACATTAGAGATGATTTTGCGACGAGGTACAGGCATGGTGTTGAAGATACACAACTAGGTTTTGTTCTTGGTGGCAAAGTCAATGAGGTGCAGGAATCTAGTTTCTCTAGGCACAGCGGAGCAAGCCGAAAAAAATTGCCAGGAGAATATATTGAACATCTTTCAACCACCACGTGCACAAATGAATCCGACAATGTCTGGACTCTGGCACTTCCACGCAGAGGGAGTGCAAAGGTCTGCAAGCAAATTTACACGAATCCATGATTACTATTGCTTTCGTTCGACATCTCTCTTTAACAAATTTCTTATCCACAGGCTTCAAAAAGGCCTCTGGAAGGACTTCCTCCTCCTCCGCAGCAGCCATTGGTAAAGAAACAATCTGTCGCATCCGACTGCATCGCAACCAATCCAGCCATAAGGTTCGACTTCACACACTGGCTTCAAACTACACTTCTGATCTCAAATCTTGAAAAAATCATATTTGCTGATTTGGGCTGCACTTATTTCTGTAGGCCTGGTGGTGAGCCCGGGATCGGAGGTAGTGCTAGTGATGAAAAGGAGGCGAAAAGTGGAGCAGAGAAAAGTTCTTGTGTGGAGTAAAGAACTCCAAAGATTGGCCTTAGCAGCAGCAGGTCTCCTCCTCTTTAAGGTGAGGTTTTGAACAGAGTTTAGTGTTTTTGTTTTGCATTATTGAGGTAGAATGATTATGTGTATGTATATGACTGTGAGCAATGGTGGTGGACCTGGTGGTGCGGCGGCGGCGGCTGTGGTGGTGGTGGGGTGGGAAACACTCAACACACACCCTGCTGTTGTATAGTTTTGTTGTTGATATTAATTATGTACAGTTTATTTGCCTCAATGCATTTTTGTATAGCATTATTGATTTATTTCTTTTTTGTACTTGGGTTGTGTTTAATTTGTGTTTGGTTTGTGAATAAATAGTAGTTGAATATGATGTTATACTAAATAGAAAAGAATAATGTATTTTATAGGACTGAATCTTTCTTGAATTTATTTTTCTTAATGTGTACAAAGCAAAATTCATTTTTAACACAGGCAAAAGATAGGGTTGGGCTATCTTTTTTGTTGTAAGATTCGACAGCATTAAATAAAAATTTGGGATTCAATTTGTAATTTCTTGGATTAAAATTTGGGATTCTATTCGTAATTTGTAGTATTTTATTAGATGTTGCATGTTTTATTGAGAAACAATTCCGATTAGGCAAGATGTTTTAAGATAGAACATATATTTTACCTAATTATAGTAGATAGATATAATAGTGCAAAGACTAATTTTTTTTATATTCTTAAATATAAATGTATAATAAAATGGGAGTAAAATGATAAATAAGTGTAAAAAAAATATATTAGTAGTTCACCTTAGGCTCCTCAGTTACTAAAAAACAATATATAAACTTTTGAATTAAACAAACAAAAATAGAAATATGTTAAGTGGATAGATGGAGTATTAATTTATTATTAATAAAATATAACATATTGATTTTTATTACTGTATTTTTTCTATATTATTGATTTTATTATTTTTTTTTTCTTTACACTATGAACAAGGGTTTATTTATTTATTTTTTTTCTTATTGAAAGGTATGATTTATTTTAAATTTTAATTTAATATGGAGCCGTGAGTAGTTTTTTAATTTAGCTTATGTTTAAAATTAAATTGAGATATAAATATTTTAGATTTGATTTATTATTAATTGTTGGTCCCAATCTCACTTAATCGGACAACAAACAAATAACAACACCATACAAAGAAAAATTTAGCTACAAACAAGTAAGTTGTGAATTGGTCAAACGGCTCATGCATACTAAAAACAGTAATAAATGAACAAAACACAAAGCAAATGTTAACTCAGTTAGGACCTCACTTAATCGAACAACAAACAAATACCAACACCAAGAATTTACCTAAACAAATTTAGCCACGGTTAGATAGTTCATGAATCGATCAAACAACTCATGCATTAGCCCAGTTCGGCCTCCTACTTGGTCTATATCTTGAGTGTTCCAACTCAAACTTGATCACTAAAATGCAACCAATAATTAAACCAACATATATCCTAAGATAATCTAAACAATGGCAACTCCAAGACAACAAATACACAAGTAAAATTTTACTTATACGTTGTAAACTCCCTCTCAAGAGATGCTTACCAATCCTCATATGTGTGTTTCTCAAGCTCCTTCTGCAGCCCCTTCTCCACCCAAAGCTCCACAATCTAAGTCATCTCATTAGCATTAGACATTTTTATGATATTTTATATTTTTAATAGGTTGTAGATCCTATGTTGATCCGGCAAAGTCAATATGGTGCTGATTTGACCGAATCAATATATGTTATACACATAATCAACATATATTTATACATAACTACAACATATGTTGAGTTATAATATAACATATGTTGTATTATAAATATATTGAAATATATGAATATATTTTGATTACCTGTATCGCATATGTTGGTCCGGTCAAATTAGCACCACGCTGACATTACCGGATCAACAACTGACTCATGCTCTTTTTAATATATTTGATATGCAACTAACATATTTCCTATTTCCATATATATAATTGTGTGATTTATTTTTAACTCAGACTCTTGATTGTTGATGTTGAGAGCTGGTTTTCATTGTATATTTTGAGTTACGGTTTCATATTAATGCCTATGTCATGGAAGCCACCTTATGGCTTCAGTCAAAGAGCTTAGATTGATGTGCTTATTGTTCGATTCACATGTATTTTTAGTTAAATAGCTTTCGGCTATTCTTAAAATTTATTTACTTGCCTAATTTTTATATTGCATCTAATGGATTTTCTACATGTAAGGTTAGATTTCTTTGTAAAAGTTCTGTTATGATTTTACTATTTCCGAATAACTTGCAAATACTTGTTGTCACTATTGATCATGTCGGAATATATATTCTAGGATTTACTCACAAAACATCTAAATAAAGTTTCTGAATTTCTGGCTGCTCACTATTTATTTATTTATTATGTCAATTTGTATTGGCATTATCATAGTGGTATGGTTGTTTTAGCTCGATTTATGCATCTGGGACGGAAGGAGTAATTGTTATTCTATTTGTGTGCAAATTATCGTTAATTTAATTAATTGTCTACTTATGTATAGGCAACTTATTGCAGTGTGGCAGGGGTGGAACTATAAGGGGCTAGAGGGTCAACCAAGTCCTTAAAATATATGTATTTTTTTTTATGTAAAAAATAATAAAATTATATATTTTATAATAATTTGTTCTTCCTAATTTTTTTATTTTGTAATGTAAAAAATCATAAAATTTTATCTATATGTTGATTTATACTTTTAGTCTTTAAATTTTATTTTTTATAGTAAAATGTTATATTTTATGTACTTTTGTTGAAAATTTTTCTAAAACATTTAAAACTTTCAATTTTTTTTTTTTTTTTTTGACAAGGTGTATTATGAATAAAAAAAACAATATTGAATCAATTAAAAAAAATAAAATTAATTTTTTTCCTCGAATTCTTACTGCTGGTTCTGTCACTGTTTAGCAGCATTGATATTTTATTTTTATTAGGATTCTCTATTTTAGTTAGCATAAATTTTCAACATTTCTATTGTATTCATGTAATGAGATTCAACTGCTGGTCTCATCCTTCTCATTTATCTTTTGCTCAATTTTTGTCTTTTTCTTACTAATTTTTTTTTTTTCTTTTTTTTTTTTTTTTTTTGAAGTCTCCGTAGTAGAATGCTTTTACATCATGCACCGAGAAGGGGTTTTGAAAGGAGGCGTGTATGCATTCTCCATTTCGCTCTAGTATATATATATATATATATATATATATATTTCCTCTATCCTACTATAGTTGATACTAATTTTATTTTTGTCTTTATCTCGTAACAATTGATATTTTTCTATTTTTGGTAAAAATTATTAAACCAAAATATATTCAACAAATATAAATCAATTTAATTAACTATATAACATACAACATAATAAATGACCTAGGATCCACTTAAAACCCTTTTATTTCTACGTCTCTCTTCAAAAAAATAAATATTTTTATCTATATTTAAAACTACATATTTTTTATAAAATTAATTTATGTTAATTATAAATAAACAAAAATATTTTTTTTATTTACTTGTATTATATAAGATTTTATTCTCTACAAATGATATCCATATTGCATATATTTTTTAATTGTTATATAATTTTTAAATATTTAAACATATATTTTAATTTTTTTAATCATCTATTTTAAATTTACTTTAAAACTATAAATATTATTAAGTATACGAAAAATAATAATATCATAATTAATTATTATTAAATAATTAAATACCTTCGCGTTAAATACTGTATCCTTAATCAAATGGTTTAATTCCGATGAAACGAAGGGACACTAGATGAGAATCTTTGTGTGTATGCAATAAAAAAAAGTCAACAATAAATTGAAAAGTGATCTAGCATGATGAGATTTGGCAGCCGAGCCGCCAGTTTGTTTACTAATTTTATAATGACATGGATTCATGTTTTATGTTTTTTTTTTTTTTTTTTTTTTGCCTTATTATTAGCTTCAATTTTAGTTTTAATCGTTTTATTATTAATTTGAGTTTATTTGATTTTGATTTTTGTTAATTAATTTTTATATTTTATATTTACGAAGTATTGTTCGGTTGATTTTCGAACAAATATTCATAAACACAAAATTATACAAATTAATTATGGAAATCAAATTTCGAATAAATCCAAATTAATAATACAATATCGAAATCAAAACTAATAATATATATATTTGGATAATTTTTGGAAAATTATTTTGAATACAATTAGTATTTGTTGGATAACAAATAGCTCAAACTAGGTTTGTTACGTTGCAAGCTATATTTAAAATTAGGTTTCAACTGATCGATCAAGTGTGTTTACTTGTAAGATTATGATTTTTAGTTTTGGTTTTGAATAGTAAAATTTTGAATTAAAATAGTTGTTCGATGTTATATAAATATATATTGATGTGATGTTTTGAATTTAAATTAAATTTTAGTGTAATAAAATAAATAAGAAATGAGCATTTGATTTGATATTTTGAGAGGGAAATTAAAGAAAGTCGGAATAGTAAAATCAGACATAAAATCCCATAAGTAAACACACCCGATCTTTTGTGTTGCGTATAAAGATTGAAGAAGAAGAAGCTATTGTTGCATAGGGAAAACTAAAGCCAACCAAACATGATGGGTGAAGAATAAGAACATACTGAGTTGATCTCCCTTTGTTCGAAACAAAGGCTGCAAGAGGACGAGCTATCTAGAGACTTTACTACCTCATAATGGTTGTTGGCAATTTGGCATCGTTCCCTGCCAATCCATTGTTCAGGTAGTCGTCATCAGATCAATAAAATTATGTTAATAGAGATTAAGGAAGACAGGGTAAACTTGTAGTTGTGATGTGTTTACAGATATGGATGGTATCTTGCAGCAGTCGATGCCGAGGGAAACTGATTGCCGATGTTAGTTTACTTATTGGTGCAAACAGAGACCGGAAAGGCCTCACAACTTCATAGTTTGATACATCGATAATCTTTATTTCTTTTTGCTCGATACTGTCGTCTTAAGTGAATAGATACAAGTGTTTGTTGAAATCATCAATGCACCGATCATACTTAGCGACGGAACTACTAAGGGGCTAGGGGCCGTTGACCCCCAAAATATGAATATTTTTTTTAATGTAAAAATAATTTTGTATTAATTTGCGCTTCAATTTTTTACTTTTAATGTAAAAAAAAAATGCTAGTAAAATTTTTGTAATTTTGTTGATTTGCATTCTATCCTTTATAATTTTTTTAAAAAATAAACAATATTAAATTTTATGTAGTTCTGTTGAATTTTTCTATA